CAGATCCTTTTTGCATACTCTGCAGATTTGTTTCTTAACCATTTCACCAACAGGTTGAGTCATTCACTTGCTGAGATATCTGCATTCCTGATTGCGTTCCTGAAGGTAGATCTCCAGACTCGATAGTTATCAGAGTGGTCATCAAACTTTACGAGTCCTGTGTTGATTAGTTCACGGTGAGCCAAGTACCTAGCAAAGTCCCCTATGCCTGCTAATTCAGGGTGTGTCCATACTGGCGCTTGTGAGGTGCTATTATTGGCTGTATTGCCTTGCATGCCATCATTCGCGATGGCATTGGATTATGGGCCCAAAAGGTTTTGATCACGTTGGTTTGATCTCTTTATGTGACTGTATGTAATGTGGGTCTGACTTAATGCATCCTTGTCTGACCCCACGTGTAAGATGCTGAGTTGGTGATTAACTGCCAGGGCAGGGTATGCATTTTCACCATTCCCGTGGACATCATTCATGTTCACTCGGCATGGAGGTGGTGATGTCTCAACATCCGCCTTTTGCTAAGTATCGGTTGGTGGTAGAGCATTGGTGCGTTGTTCAGACCAGTCCAAAATATTTTTTCTGGTAAGTTGATCACGGTCCTTGACAGATATCTGAGTGCCAAACTCACTCCAATTATCTTCCTTATCCAGATTGGCTGCTGATTCGAGCATCTCTGCCTGGGCCTTTGCAGCAGCTGCTTCTTTTTTGAGTTGTAGGGTGCTTAACTAGCATCCAGCTCTGCTTTCTTCCGTGTGGCAGTAGCCACCAATGTACTCTTGGTTACGCTTGCTTTTTCATGAATGCGGGCCTTTTCAATTATCATGGCTTCCTCTTCAGCCATGTAGGAGATACGGGCCGTTTGCTGCTTCTGCTGCTGCACGTGCCTGAGCTGCTGCCATCCTGGCAGATGATAACTGTGAGTGAGCTGAGCCTTTAGATCTTGTGATGGACTTGAATGAGACAGAGTGCTTAGATGGTGTCTCTCTTAAGCCATCCACACGGTCCATTGTGTCTTGTATCACTGCCTTCACATTATCATCGAGCAGTTCAAAGAAGTGCTCCTGAATGCGCACTCCCTCGATGCCCTCGTCTGTCTTCACCTTCTTCAGGTGGGAGATGTATTTATTTGCCAGCAGCTTGTAGCTTGAACTGCCGACCTTCACTCGATGTATGGCCCACTGAATTGAGGCCACTGTGTCTGAGGCGTTAGTGACCTTCAGTTATACCTGCTTCAACCCGGTCCCATGCCCTTTGTATCCTGGCATCAAAGTCTTGCTTCTCAGCATCATCGCTTTCAAAGGCCCGTTGTGTCAGCCTGACTTCTCTTTGGGGCCTTGAACTCCCTTGATTCTCTTGAGGAATGATTGGAGGTCCTGGATTGGTTAAATCACTTGTTTCAGCATCTCTCCCTGCTGAACTGTGGATTTCCATGCTGCGATGCTTAGAACACAAGTTTAATGTAGACTCACTGCAGAGCTGGCTGCTTGAGAGCTCCAAGCCTGAGGAGCTGGCTGCTTGAGATTTCTAAGCCTGAGGAGCTGGCTGGTTGAGAGCTCCAAGAATAATGCATTTTTACTGTCACGGCCTCGCTGTGCGCTGCGTTGCACCAAGTAGTTTACCTGGCATTCAATACATTTTCAGAGCCGGGGTGAAAATCCGACTCCAACGTTTTTAATGAATAGAACGAAATAAAACTGATGGAAAAACACAGCACAAAATACAGCATCTGTTAATACTTACAATATCAATACAATGAATGAACACTGCAGCATCATAACATTGTCTTAGATAAGATGAATCTCAACAATAGGTCCTGGATGGACCACGAACCTACATTAGCACTGCATAACTATACAGCAAGTGAATAAGCGACTGTGTTAAATTAAGTCACTTTGTGTAGTCACCATACTGTAGCCTAAATGTACAGTTCTGCATATAACACTGAACTGTGGATGAGATACTTCTTCATCCTTGCTCTCAAGATTGCATTAAAGTTACATGGGCCCAAGTCTGGCACGACTTATCCAACTACAAATAACATTCACGATAATGCAAGTGGCAGGCTTCGTTGTTAACTAGGCCTCATATTTATCATAACAATTTACATCATTATAAAGGCATTTACAGCATTATAATGGCAATCCTAACATTATAACAGCATTCCCAGTATTATAAATATACAAACGACCTTACAGACAATGCTTCTTAAAGTCCCACAATGAACAGATGCACCTGTCTTCACTGAATCTAACTCAGCGGTCTGAGACTGCAAGTTGTTCCTGAGCCCAGAAGTCTTGACTGAGACTGTAAGCTGCTCCGACGTGAGGCCCGGAAGAATTTCCAAAGTCAAGACCCAATTGTGCAGTTGGGTGACTTTTTGGGGGAGTTGCGAGTGGGTTGGTTATTGTGATTGTTCAGTTGTGTTTTGTTTTGTTCAAGTTTTATTGGTAAAAGTCGGTTCTTCATTTCGGTTGACCTGTGCTAAGGAATGGCGCACTAAGAGTGATGTGGTGTAGTCTACAATTGTGACGTTGTGCAGTGCCTTGTTGGAGTACAGTTTGGTGTAGTTGGAGATGAGGGTGTAGTTTAGTGGTGTAATTATCAAGTCAATTGGTCTGGTGAGTATGTATTAACGATGAGGCTGGTGGCAGGTGAGTGGTGGGTGATGTCTACTGAATTCAGGAGTTTAGAGTGCCTAAATGTCAGCAGAGTAGTGTGGTGTCTACCAAGTAGTTAGGTGTCAGTTGTATATGGTGAGGGTCAAGTGGATGACTGGTGAATGGTGTCATGGGAGTATTGGGGGTGTTTCGTGAGCATTAGATGTCATGTGAGCATCCCGCACCTCCGATTAGCACGGTTAGCTATGTACGATGTAAATGCGCACTGATCTTGCATACTAAGTTTTACTCTTTTAAGTCTGTTGCAAGCTGACTCAGACTCAAGGATGGATCCAAAACATATGCAAGTAACCGGTCTTCGGACCAAAGACCCCAAAACAGCACAATGTGTGTGCGTGGGTACAGTAGATCACCATGAGCTGTGAATTGTAGAGTGCATCGTCTGGGGTCCATTGAGGCGAGTATACATTGCTCAGTGAGATAAGACAGAGCGGATTGGTGCAGCATCTTGTAAAATAGTAAGCAAAGTTTATTTTTGTTCATAAAATCTAGATTTAATAGCCAATTTAAGTCGTCTCATATCGAGATCGTTATCATATTAAAATTGCCGCGTCCGAACTATCAGGTGAACCGTAGTATTGAACACTGGCCAGAATGGACGTAGATGCACAGTGCTAGAACAGCAAAATATCCTGTTGCAATTGTCCATGCGACTGATGATGAATGCATGGAAAAGCATCCTCGCTATCTCTTTAATCAATGCACGATGGATGGTGCGCAATTGTCGAAGCTGATAGAATCATTGACCAGTGAAAAGCCTGATGTGAGCAGCGAACATCAGGTGAGTAGTGTCCGGTGGGTGAGAGTGCCCAACAGAGGAGAGATGGAGTCAATAGCAGAGAATAGTTGAGAGAAGAGGGCTGAGCCGATGGAGAATATAACGCATCTGTAGGACAGGCTGCCCTCTCATTTTATAACGTAACTATAATTGTTATTTGGGGTTTCCTGAAGGTGACCTCACACTGGGTTCACATTTTTCAATCATACACACATTGGTTTTCTATCACCCCCAATGCCCCCTACTCGCCTCTCATGTGAAAAACTCATGGAAAAATAACCTTCAAGGTTGCCAGGATAAAAACCCATGTGGAGAGGTTTGGTGGTGAGCACTATTTCACTGTGTGCGTGGGTGTTTGTGGGATGACGGGCAGCCATCATCCCGCTGCTCTGGGCTTTTCGCCCTGTTGCCGCACACCCTGCTGGCATCAGAAGGGCTCCCCATTCTGTTGTACCAGCCTCACTGCCGCCACCATAGGTGCTGTGTCCTTGCAGACCGGCCGGCCGTGCTATATGTTATAGTAACAAAGAGTGCTGTAACGAATTAGCGTTCGATTGGGTCGCTTTTAGCGAGATCTGCCTGGTATAACATACAGGCAGATCTCGCTAAGCGCGACCCCGTACAACGCTAATTCGTCAAAGCGCTCTTTGTCCTGGAGATTTTTTTTTACAAAAATGAAGAAATTCTAAAAATTGTTACGAGTCAGAACACGCAGGAAATGTGTCAGTTCATATGGACGCCTAAATGGCAAATCATTCACGTTCAAGTGACTTTGTTAGGGGCCAGTACCGTGCTGGCAATTGCATGTCGGGGGCGAGTTATGGGCATGAGTGTCGCGGTGCGGAAAGAGGAATGGAGATGGGGGTTTAAATTGAGGTGAAATTGAAAAATCAAGAGTGTACACAAACACAAGAAACGGAGAGTAACTCAGCATCCTTTAGCATAATAACAAGGGTGGAAATCATGTATATTTAGTTAAAGAGGGAGGGGTTGATGATTTCAGACACAGAAATGCAACTTCCATAAACTTTATTGTCGAACGTGGTTTTTCCCAATATGGCATTTTTCAAGAACGTTACCCCTGCGTTCGACGATGTCTGCCTGTATGATTATACTCGGTGTTAAGCTAATCTTGAAGTTGAAATTTTGTTCACGTTACGATTAGAGTTAAATTGCAGTGATATGACAGAGTTCATTACATATAACATACTCCATGGGTTTCCAAACTCTAGTCCAATCATGACGACGTCATCCTCTTTAAAAAAAACTTCAGATGTGCACGGAAAGCAATTTATAAATGAATGAAGAATATACATGAGTATAAATTTAGAATTGCATTTGGGAAGGTCGACTAGCTTGTTGGAATATTAGCTATGTTACTGTTGTAAAAAAATCTGTGGTTTAAACTCGTATTCCTTAAACTGCCTACAAATGGAATACGCGATCTCACCCAAAAAAACCTGTATTGTGGATGATATTGGTCGCGAAAGCCTACGTGTTAAACCAAAACAAGTCAAGGATGAAATAAATCAAACTTTTTGGGAAAAATATTGGTCAACAATTGTATTAATGATAAAACATGTCATTAACAAATGGATTCGTACAATATCCAAGGTCTTCACAATCACGAATCCAATGCGACCAATTGAAAGCAATTACTGAATCGTTGCCCATCAGTGTGTCTAGTTGGCAGCCATGGTCTGGTCTATCCAGCTTCGCAGGGCGGTGACGCGCGCGTACACGGCCGGCATGCTGGTGGAGCACGAGCTGCTGCCCCACGACACGATCCCCACGAGGTACCACACGCCGTTCTTCTCGCACACCAGGGGGCCGCCAGAGTCGCCCTGGAGAGAAGACACGCAAGGTGCATAACCACAAGCATATCGGAATGAGCTTCGATATCGAGACAGAATAAAGTAAAATAAAACCATCCTACCCATATTTGATGACAATTGAGTTGTGTTGAGATACACTTCACTTATATGGTGGTGCAGGTCTGCAATCATTACACATTTTTTTTAAAATAATGTATGTGCATTGTGCATGGTAATAATGAGCTGTCACCAATTTACATTAGATGATGAAATACTAAATATATTGCCACTTAAAATTAAGTATTGAGGTTTATATCAAAGTTCAATCCTATTAAATTGTCAACAACTACTTTCATCAATGGTTTACTTTCAAACATGTTACATTTTTACAAGACAGTCCCATTAACCCCACCATCCCTCATACCTCTAATGATGATCGCCTATCTTCTGGTGTAGGCATTAAAACGCTTACTTCAAATACCACTTTAGCTACGTAATGGAAGGCCGTTAACGTTTACCATGCAAGAGCTGGCTCCAGCACCACCAGCGCAGATCATGACACTGGTGATGACGTTCACGGTGCCCCACTTCTGCTGGCAGATGGGAGTAGGCACAATGGGCAGAGCGGTCTGCTGCAGGATGGGAGGCGTGTTGAAGGCTGTGAACACACACATAGAAGAATGCCAAATAACATAATAATGGTTAGATCATCTCTTTAATAATATTTCTTAATGACTATTTGGCACGAGTTACTGTCAAAGTTGAATAGGCCTACGAGCTGTAGGACGTCTGAATGAATACCCTGCGCAAAGTAAATTTTGTTAATTATTGGTCTTTGATGCTCACCGGAAGAGCGGACCTTGCCCCAGCCAGAGGTGACACACATCATGTTATCTTCGAAGACATCCGAGGCGGCGGGCAGGCAGACGGGAAAGACACGGGCCACGATCTGAGCGGGCTGAGCCAGCTTCAGCAACATGATGTCGTTGTTGATGTTGTAGGAGTCCCACTGCTGGTGAGTGATGGCCTGTGTGTGCAAACAGAACGAGATGTTATAATACCTTAAACTCACTACATTTGTTAAATTCAGGGTACTTGATCAACACAATTGGTCTCAGTTGAACTTCATCCATTGCAATGTCTAGGAAGTTGCAGGGAATGTTCATGAGGTCAATTCATGGCTCGCAAGTTTACCTTAGAGACGACAAGAGACTGGATGTTCTCGGCGTTGGAGTTCCTGTCGTGCTCGCCCAGGACGACGCGGTCACGGGACGGGCTGCGGACGCATTTAAGAAAACCGAACATTTACTGATTGATAAAGATATTCTTCCTCGTTTTAAAGTTGTTAACAATGAGCGGTGCTATGCTGGTGCAGTGACTCCAGCATGCACTTACTTGAACTCGCAGTGGGCAGCGGTCACCACCCACGAGGGGTCGATGAGGGAGCCACCACAATAGTGCCATGTGGTGGAATCCTGTAGTGGCAAGACGCGACAGAATTGGTGTCGTGTCGCACTCTGGGACACGCGTAGCACACCTCACATACCAAACAGCAGTTCGTACAGGCCGACTTTCGCTTGTCTCGTGGACACCGCGATACGGTTCATGTCAATGTGGACTCATGATATACTAACATTGAGCACTCACCTGCAGGGACACCTGCCAGGGCCAGGAGCCCGACACCGCATTCTCGCCGTTGACGATGCGGGAGTAGCCGGTGATGACCGGCTTGATGGCCGGGACACCGCACCCTGTGATGTGTAAAGATAACGGTCATTTATCGTGAACATTACAGATGCTCAATTCTCGATTTGAAGCTTTCGTGACTGCAAGGATTCATACTCTTTGTTTTTTCGGTAAAGTCACGTCGGTAAAAAATTAAATAAAATAAATGAAAACTAAATTAAATCACGACGTTTCGGGCGCAACACAAGCGTCCGTCATCAGGTGGGAAAGCATTGCCTACTGCTGATGCAGTCTGCAGAGGCTCCTTGAATGATTTACCTACAAAGCTAGTGGAGGAGCTATGTAAATATTGTTGCATCATTAGAACATGAGAGAAGTCGACGGCTTGGTGGGGCATTCATCCACCAGCTAATAGATCATTGCCCATGATTACATACATACAATATGAAAGAATTATAGTTAGACAGCAGTTTGCGCTATGTGTATAAAAACTATAGTGTGGAAGACCCGACTTATGAAAATCCGACTTAACGGAAATTAATCTTAATTTTGGAGCTTTCGTGACTGCAGGAATTATTCTCCTATAAATCACGTAACAAAAATTGCAATACTGTATGCATAAATGTCTGCATTAGTTATGTAAGCGCAAATGGTGCAGCGTGGTGAGGTTGCGGATGAATACAGATGAGGGAGGGGTAAAGCTGGGCCGCATATTCCCCAAGGTGGTGGTGTCCTGTACAGCACTTTGAGTTACGCTGTTACATTGGTACCCTGAGTAGACTACCCGTCACATCGTCTCGATTTCTTTGTAGCATTACGTAATTGTTTGTTTTCTATGCTTCGTGGCATTCATAAACAATTAGACACAGTCCAGTGTATGTTCCATTCGTTGAATTATGGGCAGTGTTAGGGTAGATATTTGATCAAATGAAAACATCATAGGAAGTGTAGAGCGTATGTCCAGCGATACGATACAGGTAGCGATAGAAAGCGGATGACAGCGTTATACCGTACAATACTCAGAGAAAACGGTAGGGGAGGCACAACTATTCCAGATATGGGATTTTATCGTTGATTTGAGGGGGAAATTGTTTTGTTTCCGACGTAAAATTTTCGGGTTACGGATGTTTCTCAGGAACCTAACCCTTCTGTAACCCTGGTACTGCTTGTCTACACAATCTTGATAGTTTAAAACACAGATCTTTTGAGTTTCATCCCAAGGCAAAATGTATGTACATTTTCCCCAGCTCTCATATCAATTGGGGATTTATTCATGTATTTCGTTAAAGTATTCTGGCAAATTGTGAGTACACCATGTCTTGGTTTATCGACAAAAAAATTACCCAGGGTTCAGTGAATCCCTCACTATGGCGTACATGTTCAAATGGTTCTCTCGCATGATGATTGATGAATAAAAAAATAGCTGGCGTATCTTTAAGAGCCTCTATAATTAGTATTCTTATAAAGGCCTTATAAAGGAATTCAATTTAAGCCTCAAAGCGTAGATTTCCTATCCTACCACGCTGCGTGCGACTCCCATTTTACGTTGTGAGTGTTTGAGTTCAACAGGTGTGCAATGGCAGTTTCATACCGAAGGCGGCGCCGATTAAGGCGAAGCACGAGACGAGCCAGAAGAGAGATATTGCTACTGTGGTAGACGGTGCTGGCCTCCTGCTGTTGGGCAGCCCCTTTTATACAGAAAATCTGTCACGTGGCAGCGAGTTTTAACCTTTATTTAGAATTCTAGCGGTTGGCCTTGCCCTTGGATAAGCTTTGGAGTACTGGTGCCACATGCCACTAATCTATATCTTCCCATGAACAACCAATATTGCGAAGGTCGGCTGAAAAACACCCATAGCGATATGGAGCAACACATTTATTTCACACACTTTGGTTTAAACATGCCATTTTGTAAATGGGTGTTCAACCAATATTAAATTGTGTTGAAGTTAATGACAGTTGTTTTGTTATTACATATTTTGTTAGAGTGAGGGTTAACCTTAACCAAATTTTGAGGATTATCAGAGTTAAAACTTGGTCAGCATTAATTCAACTGAATTGTACAATTTAAATTACATATGTGAAATATAGATAATTTAGGTGAGTAATGCGAAGTGCATGATGCACGGGAGATGTGACCTTATGCCACGTGTGGAAGCCCGACCTCGCCTGAAAAAAGCGTGCGAGGTGCAATCTTTTGCAGTGTTGGAGAGAAGACGACCCGGGCTGCGGAGTCTGCTGAGGCCGGAGCAGCCGATAAGTGATGGATGGGAATGTTAGTGATGTTATTTATACTTAGGAGGGAATGTTTTGAAATATTTTGGATGCAAAGAGAAAAACACGGATACAGGAGCAAGTTTAAAACAATATTGTACTAATGCAGGTGTGCACAAACGAGCCATGCATCGGGCCATAACCCTTCAATACATTTTCAAAGGTTATCAAATATTTCAGGGCAGATATTTGCTTTACATTTGATAATTTAGGCTACAGATGAAGTGGTTAACCAATTACTCTATTTCAAATTGCAAAATGTGTGATTCGGTGATATCCGTGCCACGGCCGCGGAGCAACTCCGCAAGCGCCCCGACTTCCACCCTGAGCACATGCACACACGCAGCACACACATGCAATATCCCAGCCGGGGATCGCCTGGCACAACGGGTTTTCATCCGAAGAGCCCATAAGTGAGAAGGCCCACAGTTTCCCGGTGCCAGGAGATTGGCCGACCATTCCAGGACAAATCACATTGCGGCGCCCCTAAATTGGCTTAAAATTGTATGGGCGCACAAAGGTTCACCGAGCCAGCCACAATGAGTCATGCACGACATCGGGGAGTGGCTGGGGTTAAATATTAGGCGCCCAGAGCAAACGATGAGGTTAGGGGATCCCAGCACCACAGACCAAGTACACACTAGCCGGGTGTGTATTCGGCAGCTGGACGCCCTTCCAGATTAATGAGTACGGGTGCAGAGACAATGGGTTGAAAAATAACGTAACGTAATGCTCCATGTAAGGGCAGAGAAACGGTTCAAAACACAGATAGGCTCATGATTAGCTGCGCCGGATGACGTAGCTCTGGATTTCAAAAGTCAAGGGGATAAAAAGGGGCGCGAAAAATGATTCAAGAGATCTCATCTTCAACAGCCTGGTCGCTAAGACCCCCCCTCCTGCCGTCCTGCCTCCTCGAGCCGCTTGCAGCATCTGTGTGATGCCAGCGAATGCTGCTACAAGGCAGTGATAGGCAAGGTTTTTTCGTCATCCTCCCTCCGACTCTCACAGCGTCCATGCGACGCCGTGAGTACAGCTGCGAGGTACATGATAGAGCGTGTGAGTGTTTGGGGACTTGGATCGCAGTAGGCTAGGCTCTGCTCACAGAATATTCCCTCCGGGCAGTGCAGGGTTTGTGCCGTGAATAAACGTTAGCACAGAGAGAGTGAGAGGCAGAGCCGCAGCACAAACACTCATTAATAATCGCTTACAGGTGTGGGCGCGGTCGGACTGCTGCGGCCCGCGTTAGCGTGAGTGGTGGTATGCACAGAAGAGTGATCACGGAGCCACAGTGTGTGCGCGTGTTAGAATATAATTGCCAGCCGGAGCACGCGCGTTCGTGCAGCCGCTTCGCGTTAATCTTAGTGCGGACGCAGGTAGGAATATAACCACCCGCTGGCGCGCGTGTGTTAGCACCGCCGCTTGAGCATCAGCTGTAGTGCGGGCGTGTGTTAGAATATAATCGCTAGCAGGAGCGCGTGTGTTCACGCAGCCGCGTAGCGTTAGTCTTAGTTTGGGCGCGGGGTAGAATATAACTGCCCGCCGGTGCGCGGGTTCGTGCGGCCGCTTGAGCGTCAGCTGTGGTGCGGGTGCGTATTGGAATATAATGACCAGGAGGTGCGCGTGTGTGTTCGCGCAGCCGCTTGAGTGTTAACTGTGGTGTGTGCGTGGTAGGGTATAATCGCCTCCAGGTGCCTGCGCGTGCTCGCCGCCGCGTTGCCATTAGTGGCGGTGTGTATGCGGGCGTGTGTGTGTGGAGTAACCCCGTGTGGCGGTGAGCCAGCAATTTAGCTATGTCCCTCAGAGAGGGCGCTAGGATGGGGGGGGGGATCACCCGGTCGCCGGGGGCGGGAGCCAATCGACGCGGTGGAGGAGGGAGTGGAGGTGGCGGACTTCGCGCCCCACCTGCCCGGGGTGGACGCCGGCCCCCACAATAGTATCAGCTCATTGTGGGATCATATTTCATACCTGTCAACCCCCTTATCAGTGCCTATCTTATTACAGACCAATTCAAACCTTATTGGTCACCCTAGAAAAACATTATTTTTGCCCGTATTGAAACGTATTCTTAGGTGTTTTCGGTCAAGTCACGTAGGTAAAACATCATACCACCCGTATTGAAACGGCTGCACGCCGTATGGACCTGAAAACTCAATTTCCCTGTACATGAATACGGACAAACCGTATGGGTTGACGGGTAATATATTTTATATTTCCACTGACAGAGAGAGAGAGAGTCATGCAGCTGAATTTTCAGGTAGATTGTTTGATAAAGGGGAAGTGTATAAACAGGTTCCAGTGTTAAAGGCAGCATGGTATTTGGGCCACTCCCGGCCATTGCAGTGTCTGGTTGGTGGTCATGCCCCGCCTCTGCCGTGCACTTTCAATTAGGGAGAGTTCGCCGTTAATGAAGCTCCTAGGCCTCCACATTTCTGTGACCAGTGGGCGTTCGACATCTACCATACCACCGAGTATGGAGGCTGCGAGTCTCCCAGGCATTCACCTTGCTGCAACTAGTGACAGGCGTGTCTTCGCTGCATCAGAGCCCAGGGGTCTGAGGCTTGTTGTATATACACGGGTCTTTAAAATTTAATAAAAAGAATATATAAATTAAATGAAAATTGAAAAATGTGTCATTATCCGAATTTATGCTGATTATGAACTTATGCTAATGTATGCAAATATGATAATTAGGCTATGATTCGTTGTCTCGGGTTGTATTATCAATCGGGATAATACGATGAATTTCGCTTTAACGTTTACTGATTATGTTTTAGTGTGTTTATGTCAGGTCTCAAGATTAAGATCTCACCGCAGGATACAGTTCTTATAATTAAGATTATTATGCATGCACTTAGGAAGGCACCACTCGGACACCTCTGTGTTAAGCAACTTTAATCTCTAAACAAAAACATAACACTCTAATATACGAACTCTTATGCTTGGAATGTCAACACAGTACTCCTGGAGATGTCCTCCTCATTGCTCCGTACATTTAACCCTCAATGATCACGTTTGTTAAACTGCTGGGTAGCAGAACAATCGGTTAATTCCACAGAGTAAAGCGAGCATACACGGCGATGGGAAAAAGTCCTTAAAATGAATGTGACAATATTCATACGAACAGCAATAAAGAAACATATCCCGAAAGCAAAAGTAGACCTCAATGAATGCATTGGTAAGATTATGCAATTAACGAAATGTCTTGGAACAATGGTGTGCGGCAGTGTGCCTGTCTGTCTAGAAAATGCTTATCAATTGGCTAAGGGCTTCAATAAATTCACGGGCAAGATTCTGTGGTCAAAAGAAAGATTTCAGAATCAGAATCAGAAATCAGAAAAGGGGTTTTATTCGCCATGAAAGTTCGCACAGACAAGGAATTTACTTTGGCCGGAAGGTGCATACATTCAACATATAGGAATCTTAAATCTTAAATAAGTGGTTTACAAGTCTAACTATACTAAAGGTACAAGTCTAACTAATACTAAGGAGCTAAAGTATGTAAAAATTGAATAAAATAAAATCTAAAATATACAATAGCTATAATATACAATATAAAATTACAAAAATGCAAATAGGGTAACATAGTGCAGATATTGTGTTAAAGTCAGTTTGAGCCCCTGGCCTTGTTGAAGAGGCCAGCAGCGGATGGGAAGAAACTGTTTTTGTGGCGTGAGGTTTTGGTCCTGATGGACCGCAGCCTTCTGCCGGAGGGGAGTAGCTGGAACAGAGAGTGTGTCCAGGGTGGGAGGAGTCGGCCACAATCTTCCTCGCTCGCCTCAGGGTCCTCGAGGTGTACAGGTCCTCGAGGGTAGGCAGATTGCAGCCAATCACCTTCTCAGCAGTGCGAATGATACGCTGCAGTCTGCTCTTGTCCTTGGCAGTGGTAGCAGCGTACCAGATGGTGATGGAGGAGGTGAGGATGGACTCAATGATGGTTGTGTAGAAGTGCACCATCATTGTCTTTGGCAGGTCGAATTTCTTCAGCTGCCGTAGGAAGTACATCCTCTGTTGTGCTATCTTTATTAGGGAGCTGATGTTCAGTTCCCACTTGAGGTCCTGGGAGAGGATAGTGCCCAGGAAGCGGAAGGACTCCACAGTGTTGACTGGGGAGTCGTACAGGGTGATGGGGGTGAGTGGGGCTGTATTCTTCCTGAAGTCCACAACCATCTCCACTGTCTTAAGAGCATTAAGCTCTAAGTTGTTCTGGCTACACCAGGTCACCAGGTTGTCAGCTTCCCACCTATAGTCAGACTCATCCCCACCAGAGATGAGCCCAATGATGGTGGTGTCGTCCGCAAACTTCAAGAGTTGGACGTCTCCATGTGAGTGTGTTGATTCGTAATGTAGGTTTCTAAATGTCTAGTTTCATCAATGAATTCATTGGTACAGTTATGCATTTAACAAAAGGAATGACTAATATACTTCTAAACGACCGTATCCACGTAGCTCAATGGGCAGCAATGCTTTTCATGATCAGCTAATAGTTGACGCACCACCTTAGGATGGCCACCCTTTTTGAAACACAGAGATAACTTTGGAGTACTCTTATTAGTCCCAATATGTGCGTTATGTGTGTGTTGGTGTATCGTCTCCTTGCTCAACTCTTTGCGTTAAGCAGACGCCGAGGTGGCGTTTCTTGTACCAAAATTAGTTTGTTCCCTGCTGGGCGATGCATTGTGGGTGTGGGAGTTTCATACACACGGCGCTCTCTCTCACTCGGCGGCAGCTGCAGGCTCCTTTCACTGCTGGATGCGCTGAGTTGGCACGACGCTTGTCTTTGAAGGTGCTCGATCGCGCTCGCAGCTCGTTCGCTGACTGCTGACACCCCCGCCCGGTGGTCGCTGGTTGCGCGCTCTCTCCTGCTTGTGCTCTCTGGTGATGCACGATGCACTCGCAGTTCGTTCGCTGGTGGCAGACACCCTTGCTCAGTGGCGCTGGTTGCGCGCTCTCTCCTGCCCCGTGCTCTCTCCTGCCCCGTGCTCTCTGGCGATGCACGAGGAGCTCGCAGCTCGTTCGCTGGTGGCAGACACCCTTGCTTAGTGGAGCTGGTTGCGCTGGTTGCGCGCCCTCTCCTGCTCCGTGCTCTCTGGCGGTGCACGATTGCGCTCGCAGCTCGTCCGCTGCGGCTGGTCTTCTGCGATGCTCGCTTGGTCGATGCTTGGCGCTTTCCACCCTTCCTGGAGGTTGATTGCTTGACGTTGCTCGTCACTCTTTCTCTTGGGCTGCAGCTGCTGGTGGGAGCTGGCACTCAATGTAGAATAAACTTTTTGCGATACTTCATCTTTCAGCTCATCGCTACTCTGCAAGCCTCGCCATCCTTGGTTGATTGCGGGGCCCACCCCGGAGTCTGCCCCTTGCAGTACTCAATTGTGTGTTTCGTGTCTCCGTTTATATCTGAAATTCTCTCCCCAATACCGATCCAGCCGGAACGACAACCCGGTTCAGGCCCCCATTCAACACTTGTATGAACGGGGCTTGACCCGGCCGAACGATAGTTTGAGCCGCTACTAGGAAAAAAAGATTTAGCCACCGAATTCGACGGGGATAACAGCACACCCGTCGCACCATCCGCAGCATCCAAGGGCTTTCAGTAACGCAGCGGAATAAGCCTTTGCGAGCCCGACGGCACCTCTACCGTGGCAGCAACAATCGCGTTAACCGCATTACCCGGGGGTGAACGGCCCAGCAGGGAAGGCAGGAACGACATCCTACGGCCCCCTGGCATTTCTAAGCAACCTTGGTCGACGAGTATCTTAACTGGCACGCGGCGCAAGAAATCGGTGCCTAATAGGCATGGGACGGCCAGTGAACGAGAAAACACTGGTCCCTCCGCGGTGATATTCCCGATAGCAATGCGCACATCAACTTGCCCGAAAATACCCATGCTACCCCCATTAGCAGCAACACACGCATCATTAACCAGTCGGATCCGTGACATAGGAATGGACAGGAGATGAAAAATGACATCGGAAATGATGGTGGCAGACACGCCTGTGTCCACCAAAATACGGACATCGATCCCATCGATGGTACCTCGTACCGTCGATGAGCCCGACGCGGCTGCTACCACCCTACGGGCCAATTTTTTCCATTGTGTCGTAGAGTGTGGCATCGACACAGGTGTACAACAATTTCCGTCCGGAGCGCAAACATGTGTGCGAGTGGATGGGTGATGTGACAAGACCTGCCGGGTGTCCGATTTGTGCCGACTCGTCCGAGGGTGTCGTGGATCCGCGTCCGGTGTACGAGATGGAAGCTGACCCGACGGGAGCTGAGAAGGCTGAGGTCGGCAGCGGCAATCCCGGGCAAAATTGCCCCATCAGCCACACTTGAAGCACGTGGCCGTGGTCGCCCAGCGGTCGCTCGTCCCAGGCCCTGCACGTGGTCGACCCGTATCATCACACTGGTCGCGCAGCCGGCGTTTCGGGACCCAGCGAGGAACAGCAGACATCACCTCATTGTCGCCGGAGTCATTGGAGCAGTGGACGACCCGACGTGGAACCCACCCCAACGGTGGACCGTCTATTTCGGGATTCCCCGTCCATGCCGCCATCTGATCCCAGCGCTTCAGATTGAACTTAGCGTCCAAGCAGCGCGCCGCCCATCGCGACGTAAGCGGTTCGTGGCCGCATACCGGCAACGAGATGTTTAGTTCCTGGGATAGCTCAATCATTCGGGAAAGGATGAGAGGATCCAGGTGATCAGCCGATGAGCCAACGCTAACAGCGCCCCCCGGTAGGCCAAGGGTGATTCCTCTGATCCTCGACGACGTGACATAAATTTCCTGGAGCCGCCGTCGGCGGGTCGTAAAACTCCGCCATTTCCGTGAAAGCATCACGAAGCATCTTCTTCTTGGTCGCCGGGATGGATCGGAAGACCGCCAGGGAGACATCATCCAGCAGCGTGGGCAGCGCCTCCAGTGCCTCCGCCTCCGTCCACCATACGGATCTAAAGGCCGACTCGAAGCGCCACGTGAAGGCACTCCAATCGCCCCCGGCGATAAATTCCTTGATTTGAAGAAGGCGATGTCCGCGGTGAATTCCGACGCCTCGAGCGTCTCCATTCCCGCTTCCCACATTCTTCGCGGCTCCGTCAAAATGGCGTCCGGCGGCCGCGTGGCAACAGCCCCGCCCAAGATGGCGTCCGGCGGCTCCATCGCAGCAGCCCCGCCCATGATGTAGGCCTCTCCCCGCGCGGCAGGAGCAATGGCGGACGTCGATTCCCACTGAAAATCCTGGTCATTGGCACTTGGTTGAAAACCACACGACCGACCAAGGGCCGCTGAGGATACGACCACCGTCACCAGATTCAGAAAAATCGCGCGGAGCGACTCGATGTGCTCCGCCAGTCGCCGCCATCCCTCGTCCGCAGTCGAGGACGTCGCTTCTCCAGCCTGTCGGCGATGAGCGGCGTCGAGGAGAGCAGCAGCCGGAGGCAGAGGACCCGCAGCTCCCAGCAGCTCGTCCTCGTCCGCTTCAACTTCTTCCTCCGACGGATGGTCCGGTGGGTTCTTCTTCTTGAGGTGCATGGACATCTTGAAGGATCGTCCAAACGGTCTCAAGAGATACTTCTGACACCAATGTAATAAAGCTCGTTGAGGCGACTTCTGGAATCCGTCTTTTATTCAACTTATATTACAGTTTACTTCATGCTGCTGATAGGCAGCGTGAGAGGGACAGATATAGAGAGAGAGAGACGCACTGCCACGTGGCAACTCGGAGTCCCGCTCCCGCGTGGCCTCCTTCCTCTGTTCGTTCCCGTTCTGACCACGTGTCGTTCGTCTCCACCCCTATTTAATACCCAGGTCACGTGGTACGTTTCCGCCAATCCTCTTAGGCTGCATGGAATCTTCCAGGCTCCCTCGTCAGCTCCCGGGACCACGCCCCTGACTGATCTCCCCATTGGCTGTGGCTAAAGCCAGCAGAACCAAACCTTATAGCTGTCACCTTTCCATCACGTCAGGGCCATGCCCCTAGGCTTCCCCTTATTGGCTGTAAACCAGGACCGGCAGAGCCAATCACCATGACGAGTTGTGATACATCAGTGAGCCGGATATATCCTCATATATTACATTAACATTAAATGTGTTTGTAAGAGAGTCTTGTCTAAATTATCGAGTTCAAATCGGAAACCTTATTCTCTCCGAGATTAGTGATAGGCTAGCTTTAAATAAAATCTGTTTAGAATTCGGTGAGGACACAACAGCAAAAGTGAGTGTGAAAGCGATGGGTATTACCTTGTTATCGCGGCATCTCTTGAGGAAGGCCAGCGTCTCGAGGAGCTGTGACTTCTTGTCTCGTTGTCTGTTAAAAACTCCTCCCCTAAGAGGGTATTAATTCTAGAGTTGAAGCTTTCGTGACTGCAAGGATTCATACTCTTAGGTTTTTTCGGTAAAGTCACGTAGGAAAAAAATAAAAAATAATAATAAATATTATTATTAAAAAAATGTCCCCTTCTGATTGGAACCACGTTGACAACATGACTGATGCTTCTGCTGACTCGCTGTCAGCCAAATGCAAAGCTAACCTGATCTCTAAATTCAACCTCCTATCAAAGAAGAAACCAGAGCCACACATCACAAAGCTGGATGTCAACAAGACCATTATTAATCAGAGTAATATCCCAATTTCTGACAATCTAAAAACGGTACTGGCCAAAGGACTAAATTTCGCTGTCACCCATAAACATATACCAGTAGAGGATGTGATTTCTCAGGTTGATGTAGCCCTCAGAGGTATAGGACACATCCATACGGATGTAGCAAGAGCTGAAATAGCCACTATTCTTAAGAACGCTAAGAAACCCACGAGCAACATTAGCAAAAACGAACGCTCTGAACTCGCGAACCTAAAAAAGAGAGTTGATATAGTCATCCTCTCGGCCGACAAGGGCAATGCTACGGTCATCATGGATAAAGGCTCATACTACAACAAAATTCTGGATCTACTCAATGATGGGAGTTACTCCAAAATTTAAAGCGATCCCACTAACAGCCTGTTGACAAAAACCAACAAGATCATCACGAGTTCGACTTCCCTAATAGATCCAACCAGACGTCCCTCCCTAAAACCCTCGGCTGCTAGATCTCCCAGATTCTATGGTCTTCCCAAGATCCATAAAGAAGGCACCCCACTACGGCCCATCGTGTCCACGATCAACTCTCCTACCTACAAACTAGCCCGTTTTCTATCAGATACTCTGCTTCCCTTCACTGGCAAGACCTCTTCAGCAGTACTTAACTCAACCCAATTGGTCTCTATGGTCAAGGACATGACACTTTCTCCTGACAATATCCTCGTCTCTGTTTACCAAAGTCCCAGTACCTGACACCCTAACAATAATTGAAGAGAAGTAATAAAATAATAAAAATAAAACATAAAAAATAATTCTCACGACGTTTCGGCTACAACGCAAGCAGCCATCTTCAGGTGAAGAATGGGACACTGCCAAGCTAGGAGCTTATATATAAGCTGAGTTGGAGGTGGAAGAAGAGCGCCTTAACAAAAGAATGTGCATATCAAGAGGAATTTAGCATATTCATGGGAAATGCGTAGGAGGTGGGCGGGGGGGTTTCAAAGTCATATTATGCCCATGCATTATGCAGGATCAGCAGCACCAAAGGGAGGGGGCAGGGGGTAGCATTAACAAAGGGAGGGAATGTTAATAGTATGTAGAAGCAATGAAACATGTGAATGGGAGAACGGTGGCAGGAGACCCGCAGCGGAGCAAATAATGCATTCCCTGTGGAGAACACAAGATACACAGTTAATGCCAGTGAGTGGACTGCGTTCTGAAAGTTACCGTAAACGTGAACAACAATCAGTTAAGATCCGAAATGGTTTATTACGTCCTTCCAATGATTGCTGAGCCAGAATCCATCTTCTCGGTTGAAATTGTCTCTGTGTTTGTATATGTGGATCGCCTCATGAACGAATCTCTCATGGTAGCCAGATGGCTTGCAGAGAACCTCTGTCTTGGAGAAGTCAATGTCATGTGAGCCCACTGAATTGTAACAGTGATCTGCCACGGCTGAGGTGTTTGTCCTACCGTGTTTCAGGTCTGCTTTATGTTCACGGATGCGGTCCGAGACATATCGTTTGGTTTCTCCAATGTAACTGCTACCACAGAGGAAACTTAGTTTGTAGACGCCAGGGTACTGTATGTCTGGAACCACGTCTTTTACAGAAGGGACCAGATCACGGATTTTATGTACTGTGTTGAATCGGACCTGAATCTTGTGTTTAATCAGGATTTTGGAGATCTTTTTTGTGACCCCAGCAATGTAGGGTAAGGTGATGGTTTTGAAAGGCTCCAAGACAGGATCCTTCTTGATGGTTGGAGTGATGGCTTTTCGGATTGTGTAGTCGGAGTAACCATTAGCCTTAAGAGCTTGGCGTACGTGTTTGAGTTCACTGGCAATGTGTTCCTGGTCGGAGATGCATTGGGCTCTATGGTATAGAGTCTTGATGAGGGAGTTCTTCTGGGATGGATGGTGGTGGGAATCCGGTTTTAGGTAGGCATCCGTATGGGTGGCTTTCCTGTAGACAGAATGGCTCATTGAACCATCAGGTCTCCTTTTAATTAGGACATCCAAAAAGGGTAGCTTGCCATCTTTTTCGACTTCCAAGGTGAATCTGATGGCTGGGTGTATGGAATTGATGTGGTCGAGAAATTGGTCTAGAGCAGGCCGGCCATGTGGCCAGATGACGAAAGTATCATCTACGTACCTCTTCCACAAGGTCGGGTGTAGAGTGGCAGTCTGGATGGCGTCAGTCTCAAATTTCTCCATGAAAATGTTGGCTACAACCGGAGATAGGGGGAGCCCATTGGGGTGCCCTCAGTTTGCTTGTAGAAGGTTCCATTCCAGGTGAAGTATGTATTGGTTAAGCAGTGTCTCACCAGGGGGGGTACCCCAGTATTCAGTCCTTGATGAACCAAGTCTTCAATGATTGCGATGGTGTCAGGCACAGGAACTTCGGTGAACAAGGAAACCACATCAAAACTGACAAGCAGGTCGTCTGGGGACAGGGAAATCCCCTTGATTGTCGATACCAGGTCAGTAGAGTTTAGTACCGCAGAGGTGGTGTTTCCAGTGAAAGGTCGTAGGATTTCAGACAAAAAACGAGCCAGTTTGTAAGTGGGGGAGTTAATAGTAGAGACAATGGGACGAAGAGGTGTATCTTCTTTATGTATCTTTGGCAAGCCGTACACTATTGGTGGCCTGGCTGCAGAAGGTTTCAACGAGAACTGTTTGGTCTGATCAATTAATGCGGTTGAAGCAGAAATGATTTTGTTGGTTTTGGAGACGAGGCTGTTGGTGGGGTCTCTTTTTATTTTTGTATAGCTGCCATCGTTGAGTAGTTCCTGAATCTTGTTGTTGTATTCTATTTTGTCCATGATGACAGTGGCATTGCCTTTGTCGGCTGAGAGGATGACAATGTCATCCCTTTTTTTTAATTGAGCTAATTCAAAACGCTCATCTTTGCTGATGTTGCTAGCAGGCATCTTAGCGTTTTTGAGGGTTGCAGAGATTTCCGATCTTGCTACATCTGCAGCGATGTGACTCAGGCCCTTGAGAGCTACATCTACTCGGGCAATTATATCATTAACTGGTATGTGTCTAGGTGTGACTGCAAAGTTTAGTCCTTTAGCTAGAACGGATTTCAGACCTTCAGAAATAGAACTGTTACTGCGATTAATTACGACTTTGTTAGCCTTTCACTGGAAAAACCACCTCTGCGGTACTAAACTCTACTGACCTGGTATCGACAATCAAGGGGATTTCCCTGTCCCCAGACGACCTGCTTGTCAGTTTTGATGTGGTTTCCTTGTTCACCAAGGTTCCTGTGCCTGACACCATCGCAATCATTGAAGACTTGGTTCATCAAGGACTGAATACTGGGGTACCCCCCCTGGTGAAACACTGCTTAACCAATACATACTTCACCTGGAATGGAACCTTCTACAAGCAAACTGAGGGCACCCCAATGGGCTCCGCCCTATCTCCGGTTGTAGCCAACATTTTCATGGAGAAATTTGAGACTGACGCCATCCAGACTGCCACTCTACACCCGACCTTGTGGAAGAGGTACGTAGATGACACTTTTGTCATCTGGCCACATGGCCGGCCTGCTCTAGACCAATTTCTCGACCACATCAATTCCATACACCCAGCCATCAGATTCACCATGGAAGTCGAAAAAGATGGCAAGCTACCCTTTTTGGATGTCCTAATTAAAAGGAGACCTGATGGTTCAATGAGCCATTCTGTCTACAGGAAAGCCACCCATACGGATGCCTACCTAAAACCGGATTCCCACCACCATCCATCCCAGAAGAACTCCCTCATCAAGACTCTATACCATAGAGCCCAATGCATCTCCGACCAGGAACACATTGCCAGTGAACTCAAACACGTACGCCTAGCTCTTAAGGCTAATGGTTGCTCCGACTACACAATCCGAAAATCCATCACTCCAACCATCAAGAAGGAACCTGTTGAGGAGCCTTTCAAAACCATCACCTTACCCTACA